GGGGTCAGCTGGCCTCTGTTGTGCGGCCCCTCCCCTGCCCCCACCCCAGCCTGGTTGTTTACAGGGTTCGAGGGCTGCTGGTAAAGGGATGTGGACTCTCGGGCCCGGGCAGAGGCCTGGCAGGCAGGGAGGATGGGTTGTGGGCCCCTCATGGGCTGCCGTCAGCGGGGCCGTCTGCTCAATGTGCTGGAGAAGGTAAATGGGCCCCCGGCAGCTGTCGGGGCGATGGATGTGTCGTCAGTGGGGACCGCGGTGGCCGCTGTCAGCTGGCGCCCGCTCCCAGGGCCTGCTGGGCTCACTTCACTGTGGAGAAGCAGCTCGGTGCCGCCTGGCACCCTGCCAGCCGCTGCCACCACCGTCTCTGCGAAGTGTTTATCCAGCAGTTTCCTGAGAACTGGGGACTTTGAGAAAATGTTCATGGAGCTGAGGACGTGGTGGCCTAGAGGGGCTGACACACCTGGTGGCTCAGGAGGACGTGTGTCAGTCCTGGGACATGGACCACCCGCCAGCTGGCCCTCAGGAGCCCACCCAGTCCTGCCCGTGGCACATGGGTCCTGGTCCCCATGTCTTCGTGGGTGCTGCCTTGGGGGCCCTGACCCACAGTGTGGCCTGGGATGCGTGTGTGAGGCGTGGAGAGGGTGTGCTGCCTGTGACTGTCCACACGGCCCTCGTGGTGGTGGTGTGGGTTGGGGGAGGCCAGGCAAGAGCAGCTTCCTCTCAGAACCCTGGTATTTGGCCCAGGAGGACTTCTGGGAAGGAACCCCCTTTCCTTGGGGGTGCTCCAGCCCCTTCCTGGGGATGAGCAGCATTGGGGATGGAAGGTCACTCCTGCCGGAGAGCCACCAGGGACATGGGGATGCCAAAGGGACCAGGGCTGGGGGTTGTGGGACCTGGGAGGTGCAGGAGGAGTCAGGGTAGCCTGGGCTCCTCTGTCCCTCTGGGCAGGGCACAGGCGTCTGGCCAACTGCCTACCCCCCACCAAGGGCAGCCACCTCCCATGCCTAGAGCCCTGGGCCATGGACTTGCTGGCTGGCGGGGGGGGTTATGGGTTTCATCGGGCACAGGAGCCCCTTCCCTTGTGGCTTCACAGGACCGGTCTGGGATAGGTGCAGCGCCACAGGGTTAAGGGTCAGGGCGGCTCTCACCGGCCCAGGGCTGGCCTTGAGAGAACCCTAGAGGGTGGGACTGGAGCTGCTGCTTCCCCGCTGCCGTGGGGACCAGCCATGGGGCAGGAGGCTGGGACCGGTCCCGTGCTGTCCTCCACGCGGCCGCCACTCAGTGGTGTGGGGTCCCCCAGCCGGACTTGCTGACATTCCTGAAGGGGCACGGAGCCCTCTTTGCTGCTAGATCCTGAGGCCCAGGCCGGGGCTGCGCTGGGACCCTGCCTGCTCCAGGTCCCAGGTCTGAAGCATGTGCAGTGGTTGGGGACTTGGGGGTTCTCGAGCCAAGAATGGGGGTGTGAGAGTTAGGGATTGAAGAGGCCCGTTAGGGACTGGGCCTGAATGCCGGGCGGTCTCCGCTGCCCTTGGGAGTGGCTGCTGGCAGGTGATGGCTTTGGCTGTGTGTGGGTTTCTGTTCTGTGGGGTGGGGCGTGCCCTGGGCTCCCCATTTGTTTCCTGCCTGTACCCATCTGGAGTGAGGGCCTTGCGTGGCAACCTGGGGGTCTGTGCCCACTCTGTGTTTGGTGCCCTCAGCTGTGCGGGCAGGTAGGTGGGTGGAGTGGAGTGGGGTGGGGTTAGGGGGTAAGTGGGGTGGGGTCGGGGGGACGCCAGCTGGCTCTACGCGTCTCCAAGTGGATTCTACTCCTTCCTTGAGTGGGGGCCATCTGAGGACCACAACAGGGTGGGGAACTCAAGAAAGGCCTGGATGACAGGTTCCAATTCCCCTGGGCACCCTCGGGACAGCGAAGGAGAGGAGTCCATGTGGGCTGGTCTCTTCGTGTGGGGGGTCTGTGGGGCAGCCCTGACTGATGTGTCTGTGCTCCCGCCCTCCTGAGGGACCCGGAGGAGGCAGGTGCCAGCCTGCAGGTGTCCCGTGGCCGTGAGGACAGTGATGCTGGGCCCCGGGTGGCTGTCTCCTCCACCTGCCCTGTCCTGTGTCACCGCAGTCCTGGAGCAGGGAGTAGTGGGGCCCTGGGGCATCTGTTGTTGGGGCTGGCCGCCCACCCAGCATCCTGTCTGAGCTGAACTCGTTAAGATGCAAGCCCCGGCCCCGGCCGCAGCTGGCACCACCCCAACTGATCGCCTGGCTGACCCTGTAGGCGGGAGATGAAGAACAAGAACTGTGTGTCTCTGGACCCCTTATCCCAGTCCCTGGGGATCCTGCTCCTCCCCTGGAGGGGTCTGTGTGCTGGGCCGAGCTTCCGAAGATAAAGGCCAAGTGAGGCTCCCTCACTCACACCTGTCTCCCGGGCCCGCCTTGGGCCAGCCCTGATCCCTGTCCATTCCCTGGGTCTGTGGGGCCAGGCGAGCGGAAGGCACTGAAAGCCCAGGGCCCAGTTGGGCCTCTGCCCACCCCAGGACTCCCCAGGAGTGCTCAGGCCTGGGCACCTGCCCTCTTCCACCCCCTACGCCTGGTAAGTGCCAACCCTGGGCTTGCCCCTCCCGCACTCCCAGATCCAGCTCCCAGAACCCCCCAGATCCAGCTCCCAGAACCTGGGGCTTAGCTTGTGGCAGCAGGGACAGGGGCAAGACTGGGGTTGGACACGGGGGCTGCGTGCACGGGGGCAGCACGGGGCCATGCTGGGCACAGTGGGGGCTGGCAGCAGTTGGTGGATCAAGATGGGTTTCAGGGGTGCCGGGCCTGGGCGCTCATCAGTCTTCCCGCTCAGTTAGCATCCTGGGGAGTGGCAGCTGGCAGGATGGGAGGCACTCCATCAGGGGCCGACAGCTCCAGACTGGCACGCAGGCGGGTGGGCGCGAGCGGCAGGGTGGCCTAGGATGGGGGACGGGTGGAGTGGGCTGTATGCAGTCCCCGAGCCTGCTCTGCTCTCACTGAGAGCCCCTGCCTGCCTGCTGCACCTGCAGGGGTCCTGTGGCTGGGGGAGGGGACCTGGGAGGTGAGGTGGAGCTGCATGGCACGTATGTGCGTCTCTGTGCACACTCGGGGGTGTGCGTGTGAGATCCCAGGCCAGGGACAGGAGCCGGCGCCCAAGGGTGGCAGGACCACGCCTGCCCGGCAGCCCACTGGCAGGGGCATGGAGGGCTCAGTGGAGTGGGTGGGGTCCCCTGATGAGTGCTCCTGGGCTTGGGGCAGATTCTGGGCCCTAGACCCTCCTCCCCAGATGGGCAACTGGGTGTTGGCCATCCTCCAGGGGTGTCAGGCAACTGTGAATGGGCTGTGGCTGTCCCCTCCCTGGTCCACCCCAGACCAGACAACAGCCTCTCCCCACACTCAGGCCCTGCTGGGTGGACTGTGGCTGTCCCCTCCCCGGTCCACCCCAGACCGGACAACAGCCTGTCCCCACACTCAGGCCCTGCTGGGTGGAGTGTCCCCACCCCCACCAGCATCCCCCCAGCAGCCCTGGCTTGGGCAGAGTGAGGGCTGGTCCTGTGGAGACCACACCCCATGGTGCTAGTGGGAAGGGCATCGGGCAGCTGGGACTGGGGCAGGAGGGAGAGGTCACCTGGCCGGGGGGTGGCCATTTGTCGAGCCTTGGTGACTCACCTCTGAAAGAGCTCGCCCGTGGCTCCCTGGAAAGTAGAATGCCTTGCCCGCTGGGATGCCCACGCCCCGTGTCCTCTGAGCTCCCCTGGGGCTGCTGCCCTGCTGGGACTTCCCTGTGCACCAGGGAGGGCTGGACGCGTCTGGGCTCACCATGCAGACCCAGCAGGACCAGGTGGTGGGTGGTCTGGTGATGGGACAATTGCTTGTCCCCCACATCCCTACAGGTGTCCCGGTCAGGGGCTCAGTGTGGCAGGAAAACCCAGGCCCCAGAGCTCAGGGACCCCAACCCCTTACCCTGGCCCCCTCCCCAACCCCTGCCCAGTGGCCCCTCAGATGAAGCAGTTGCCTAATTAGTAAGTTCCCTGTTGTTCAAACTCCTTGCTCGGCAAAATGTAAGTGGAACATTTTTTTTCCAAGTGTCAGTATGAAAAATGGTAGTTGCTGGGCTATCACCGAGGACAGCTGCTCTGATTCTGAAGTGTGAACGCCTGCGTATGGCTGATGCTGCAAAACTTGAGGGAAAACATTCCCGTGTACCTGAGTGACCCATGGGTGGGACACAGCAGGGCCGACGACGGCAGGGCCTGAGTGTGGGTCTCAGCCTGGGGACTTGACAGCCTCTGTGCCCCGGGGCCCCTGCCCAGCTGGCTGGGCCACCTCCGTGTCTGGCTTCACTGGCAGTCCCCAGGACTGTGCTCCAGGCCCCTAGACAGGGAGTGCTGTCCCACGGCAGTGGGGCAGTCCTGTCCCGCAAGCCCGGCCCTCAGTCTGAGTGATGCTGATCTCTCACTGCTGACGCCATGCTCCATCCTCTTGGTGGGTAGCAGGGGTAGGGGGGCGGCCATGCTGGACAGCCCACACATGCCACTGTCAGCTGCTGTCGCCACCTGGCCAACCCTGGTTGATTGGGGAATGCTCTCAGCCCTGCAGCCCCTGTGGCCATAGCTGGTGCCGGAGCCGCTGCTGGTGCCTGCTGGGGACTGGCTGGTTTGGTGCTGCCTCTTCCAGGAAGGCTGTGTAGATTGGCCCAGACCTCTTCCCAGCCTCCTGTCAATGGTACTCCATCCCCTGCGTCCAGCTGGCCCAGCCCGTTTTCACACACAGATGGGGTGGCTCTTCTGAGAGGGGCGCTGTGGTGGGGCGAGTCTGCCTTCCCACTGACCCAGGGCTGTTTCTGTCGCTTGCCCTAAGAAACAGCTCCCCCACTGCGCCTGCCCCCCGGGACTCAGGCGTCCCAGGCACATCTGTCCTGGCACACCCAGTTGCTACCTGGCTGCCTGGCGAGGGTCTGTCGGGTAGAGTGTGCATGGCCCTCACCACCTGCACGTCCGTAGGGGAGTACATCAAGACCTGGCGACCACGCTACTTCCTCCTCAAGAATGATGGCACTTTCATTGGCTATAAGGAGCGGCCGCAGGACGTGGACCAACGTGAGGCCCCCCTCAACAACTTCTCTGTGGCACGTAAGTGTCCCCTCAGCCTTTCGGGATTCAGATTTGGGGTTGGCTGGAGCCCTCTTTGCCCACCAGGCCCCCCGATGGCGGTGCCCTGGAGCCTCCATGTTCTGGGCCAGCAAGCAACAAGCACTGGTTGGGTGGGGGTCTCTGGGCTGAGTCCCAAAGCCGAGGCTGACTGGGTGGGAGTCTCCAGGCTGAGTCCTAAGGCTGAGGCTGGCTGGGCGGGGGTCTCTGGGCCGAGTCCCAATGCTGGCTGACTGTGGAGCAGTTCCCTGGTGCCCATGCTGTGGAGGCTGGAGGGTCCAGACGAGTGGTAGCAGAGCCTAGCCTCAGGGTGGACAGCTGACCCGGGGGCCCCTCCTCCAAGCGGGGCAGATAGAGCCCACCTGGGTCTCTAGCTCTGAAGCCTCCATCACTCGAGGAAGAGCTCATGCCTCTGCCCGCACAGGCGCTCGGTCCCCAAACCCCATGGCGGAACCTTTGCTTCCCTCTGTGAGGCTGCAGGGTGGAAGCCTCCTTGCCCATGAAGGGGCGGGTGCAGAAAGGCCAGTGGGGGACCTTGGCCGGAGCATCCCACAGAGATGAGAGACGTGACACTCCCTGCTTCGCCCTGCTGTGGCTTTATTCCCTACCTGTAGCGGGGGCAGGTGCGACCCTACCCATGTTAGACGGGAACCCTGGCATGGAGACCCAGGCGCCCTGCTAGGTGGGAGGCTGGGGGCACGTGGGCCTCCCAGCATGGTCCCCATTTTCTGTGTCCCTGTCCTGGAGCCCAGCTCTGCCCGTGGCAGCCAAAGGTGTGATTGAGTAGCTAAGTAGGACCCAGTTGTGGGCCATCTGTATGTGGCAGGGCTGCGTAACTTGCCCCACGCCCTCCCCAGTGTCTCCTTGGTTGGGGCTGGGGGCTTCAGGGATCAGGGAGAGGCTGGATACTCGCTGTGTGCCTGGTGGCACCTGGGACAGGGCCTTGCTGGGGACGGGTGCTGTGGGTGTGCTCGCCAGGCCGAGGCATCAGGAAGGAAGGAAGAGGGGAGCTCTCTGGGGAGGCACACGGGTGGGTACCAGCTGGAGTGGTGCCTGAGCAGCCGGCAAGGCTGGGGCCTTCAGATGAGGCCATAGGTGGGTGGTCTGGAGTGCCTGGCCAAGGAGCAGAGCTGGGCAGGGGCCAGGAGCTTTTCTCCGGGGGAAGGGTTCCGGGGCAGTGGGCTCGAGACCCTGGCCCTGGGGATTGCATATTGGGGCAGATCAGACCATCCAGGAGCAAGTGGGAGGTGGGTGTGCCGGGGCTTCACACTGGTTTCCACTTCTCTGGCCTGTGTTGACACAGGCCACCCTCCCCACCAGGCTGGTCCCGAGCCCCCTCCTGGCCCCCAGGCCTGGAAGACAGCTCCCTCGCTGCCTGGCCAGGCCCCCTTGTGGTTGCCAGGGCCTCGATGCTGGAATGTCAGAGGCCCCCTACTGGCCCCTCAGCCCCCTCCTGCTTTGCACAGGCTGGGCCAGAGCCTGCCAAGGAGCCCCAGCGGCTACACACTGCACTCACTCACACCTCTCAGGGCCCCGCACGTTCCCACAGCCCTCAGGGTGTATGTGCAGTAGGAATGGCTGTGCCCCAGGTATGTGTTCCCCAGGTGTGTGTGTGCTCCAGGTGTGTGTGTGCTCCAGGTGTGTGTGTGCCCCAGGTGTGGCTGTGCACCAGATGTGGCTGTGCCCCAAGTGTGTGTGTGCCCCAGATGTGGCTGTGGCCCGAGTGTGGGTGTGCCCCGGGTGTGGGTGTGTTCCAGGTGTGGGTGTACCCCTGGTGTGACTGTGTGCCCCAGGTGTGGCTGTGTTCCGGGTGTGGCTGTGCCCCACATGTGGGTGTGCCCTGGGTGTGACTGTGCCCCAGATGTGGGTGTGCCCTGGGTGTGACTGTTCTGGGTGTGGCTGTGCCCCACATATGTGTGTGCCCCAGGTGTGGGTGTGCTCCAGGTGTGGGTGTGCCCCAGATGTGGGTGTGCCCTGGGTGTGGGTGTGCACCAGGTATGGTGTGCCCCAGGTGTGGCTGTGCCCCAGGTGTGGCTGTGCCCCGGGTGTGACTGTGCACCAGGTGTGGTGCGCCCCAGGTGTGGCTGTGCCCCGGGTGTGACTGTGCACCAGGTATGGTGTGCCCCAGGTGTGGCTGTGCCCCGGGTGTGACTGTGCACCGGGTGTGGCTGTGCCCCAGGTGTGGCTGTGCCCCGGGTGTGGCTGTGCACCAGGTGTGGTGTGCCCTGAGTGTGGCTGTGCCCCGGGTGTGACTGTGCACCAGGTGTGGCTGTGCCCCAGGTGTGGGTGTGCCCCGGGTGTGCGTGTGCCCCAGGTGTGGTGTGCCCCAGGTGTGGGTGTGCCCCAGGTGTGGTGTGCCTCAGATGTGGGTGTGCCCCGGGTGTGGCTGTGCCCCGGGTGTGGCTGTGCCCCCAGGTGTGCGTGTGCTCCAGGTGTATTTCCCAGGTACTCAGGGTGAGATTGGGAAAATAGCAGGACATTTCTACACTAGGTGGGACAAGCTGCTTTCTGGGGTGGCCCCCTCATGCCAGCCCCTCTGTGGGATCTCCATATCCCTCATCCTCTGAGGCCTGGCGCATGGTGGGGCTCAGTGACTGAAGGAAGGACTGTAGGAGGGGACGATGCGGGGGGGTTGACCTGACCTTGGGCCAGATGCCCTTTGGGGCTGCCTCAACCTAGAATAGAGTGTCTGAGCTGGAATGGGGGTCCTAGCCCCACTCTATGAGGCGAGAAACTGAGGCTTGGAGAGAGGAGGAGGTGGGGCTTCCCAGGACTTGTGGGTGGTATGCAAGGGGAGCTGGCTGGTGCGGTGGGGACTGTGTTGAGGGCCCTGGGAGGGGCAGGGGGATGCATGCAGACAGAGGCTCTGCTTGCCCGCAGAGTGCCAGCTGATGAAGACGGAGCGGCCCCGGCCCAACACCTTCATCATCCGCTGCCTGCAGTGGACCACTGTCATCGAACGCACCTTCCACGTGGAGACTCCCGAGGAGCGGTACGTGGGTTGCGGCGGCCAGGCCGGGCACTTGGGCAGCCCTAGCGCTTAGGAGGGACATGGGGATGGCGGGTGCTGGGCGCCTCTGCCCATAGCCATCCTTACTCCCCAGTGATCCCAGGCCCTCCTCAGAGCCCGGTTTGGAAACTGGCCCAGTCCTGTGGGGTTGGGTGGGGAAACTGAGGCTGGAGATAAAAACTGTCTAGGGACCGGGCACAGTGGCCGACATCTATAATCTTGGCACTTTGGGAGGCTGAGATGGGCAGATCACTTGAGACTAGGAGTTCGAGACCAGCCTGGCCAACATGGTGAAACCCCCGCCTCTACTAAAAATATAAAACTTAGCTGGGTGTGGTGGTGCACACCTGTAATCCCAGCTACTTGGGAGGCTGAGGCACAAGAATCGCTTGAACCCGAGAGGCGGAGGCCACAGTGAGCCGAGATTGTACCAGTGCACTCCAGCCTGGGTGATAGAGCAAGCCTGGGGGGCGGAGTCCTGCTGTGGGCCTGGGTCCTGCTGGGGGTTGGAGTTTGGCTGTGGGGACAGAGCCCTGCTGGGGGCTTGAACCCTGCTTGGGGGCTAAGCCTGCGTGTCCCCCAGGTCCAGAAGGGCTTTCTGACCCTGAGTGTGTGTGGCCAGCCCAGGTCAAGGGGTGGCCTCCTCAGGGCTGTCTCTGGGGACCCTGCTTGTGAGGCTGGAGGGTGGGTGTAAGCCGTGGGGTGGAGCTCCTGACCTCATGGGGTGAGGTGCAGGGCTACAGCCTCACCTGACCTCCTGCAGGGAGGAGTGGACAACCGCCATCCAGACAGTGGCCGATGGCCTCAAGAAGCACGAGGAGGAGATGATGGACTTCCGGTCGGGCTCACCCAGCGACAACTCAGGGGCTGAAGAGATGGAGGTGTCCCTGGCCAAACCCAAGCACCGTGTGGTAAGGCCTGTCCCCCTTTCTGCCTATGCCTGGGGCTACCTTGGGCTGTGGAGAGCTGGGTGGGTCATGGGGTCCCAGCTTGGCCCAGGAGACACTCAGCACTCCACGGCATCCCCATCTAGGCCGGTTTTCCATGTGGGGTGCAGCTGCTTCCCAGGTGGGTCCTCTTCCCTATGTCAGAGAAATAGTGGGGCTGCTGAGCCCTGCCAGGCTTGGGCAGTGTTACCCCACCATTCCCCGAACCCCACGCTCTGAGCTAGGGCTGCACCGTGTGTTCCCTGTAAGTCCGGACTCCCCGCTGAGCCCCGCAGGCCACCAGGTGTGAAGCGGTCGCCTCTCCTGGCTCCGCCTCCAAGTCTGCCGAGGGTGACTCTGGGGCCCCCATGCCACCTGACACATGCCGACCAGCTGGGCACTGTGGGCAGCGCCCCCCGCTGACCCTGGTGCCTGCCCACAGACCATGAACGAGTTTGAGTACCTGAAGCTGCTGGGCAAGGGCACTTTCGGGAAGGTGATCCTGGTGAAGGAGAAGGCAACGGGCCGCTACTACGCCATGAAGATCCTCAAGAAGGAGGTCATCGTGGCCAAGGTGGGGCCGGGGTGGTGGGGCAGGGTGGAGACGAGGATGCTGGGCGGCAGCTCACCCAGCCCTGCCTTACAGGACGAGGTGGCCCACACACTCACCGAGAACCGTGTTCTGCAGAACTCCAGGCACCCCTTCCTCACGGTGAGTGGGAGCCCAGATGGGGCTGAAGGGCTGGGGTCAGGTGGCGACTCCTGGGGCTGTCTCTAGGGAACGATGTCCTGTCTTCTTGGGCACGTGAGGACTTTACGCACCGCGGATTCTGCCGCTGGTGACAGGCCTGCCCTGGAGGGTCAGGCTGTGGAGGTGCCCGATGTGGGCTGGGGGCTGTGCTCGCCGCTCCTGTGTGTGGGCAGGTGGGGCAGGTGGCCCTTGTCATCTTTGCACTCTGCCGAGGCTCCAGGAGGCCCCAGCTCCCCATGCCCTGCAGCCCTGCCTGCCAGGCTTCTGTTGAGGCCCGGGCTCTGCCCTGGGGAGCCCGTTCTGGGGACTCGACCCAGGAGGTATTTACTGTGAAGGGGGCCAGACTCCAGCCACGTGGTTAGTTCCAGGTCACTGTGTTTGGGGATGATTCTCCTGCAGAAGGGGCCTTTGCTTTAAAAGCACAGCCGCCTGTGGTGGAAGGCAGGAAGGTGGCTCTGCCTGGGAGGGTGCATCCTCCCTTGCCAGGGCTCTGGTGCTGGGAGCACTGCCCCCTGTTGAGGTCCCAACCCGCCCTGGAGACCTGAGCCCAGGCCACTTTGCTCACCTTTCAAACACTCCTTGGCGCCTCAGGGGCTGCCAGGACCCAGCCCGATGGTGGCGTGGTGTGGGGGAGTGTGGCATGAGACAGTGTGATGTAGGGGTGTGTGGTGTGGGACAATGTGGTGTGAGGCAGTGTGATGTGGGGGTGTG